ACAGGAAAAGGGAGCTTGCTTTTGAATTTCTCGTTGAACGTTTTGAGGCCAATTAAAACAAACAGACTGAGTGATCCAGTGATGATTGATCCTAAATTGGACGAGGCGATGTTCTTCAACATGTGAACTGCCATCTAGAGAAATGAATAAATGAATAAATGAATGAATAAAGGAAAAATGAACAAAAAATGAATAAGAGTAGAACAAATGGGAAACTAAATTATTACTGGAAGCTAGGCATTTTGCATGTTACGGCGCATGCATTACCATGTTGTAAGTATGCAGTACTCATGTTTCACGAGATCGCAATGCAACAACAGCTAATGCAGGTCTTACCCTGACTGAAAACAACACTCCTGTGAACTGAGGTACGTTTAGGCCAAGTATGTGTTTCAACTGACTCGGTACGACCAAGACAGCACATCCTGTTGTAAAACCACTGATCAGAGGATCCGACAGATACGTAGCAATGAAGCCAAACCTGAGGATTCCCATAGCAACCTGGTGACGTCAGAAAGTTAGAATATATGTCTGCGCATGGGCACTAGACTCTTCATGTTCGAACTTGAACGTTACCTGCATGAAACCAATAAGCAAGGCAAGAGAAACTGCTATTTTTATTTTCTTTGCGTCAAAAGGACTCCACATCATCCCATCAGGAAGTAGGGTGGGGCTAGAGTTGGTCATATTTTGAACAGAAGAGACACTTGGACCAAGTCCCTCAATTTTAAGAACTTCCCTCTCGCAGACCTGAGCGACCATTAGGCAAATCACGGCGAACGAACCTATAGAAATAATTAATCATATGGATAATAATGAAGGCATTAATTTTATGGCTTAAATGTTTCTTTTCTTGTAAGAAAGAATTACATAAAGCTTTTGTGACGTCAATGATATACTGAGAAAATTACTTCCGGGTCCAAAACGAAAAGTAGTTCTATGAAGATTTTTCTGACTTTTTCTTCACGACGGGATTTGTTGTGCAAAGTTCTAAGTGCTTCAATTAGAGGTTAAATCATTGAGATCAATTTGCACTTTATCCTAATGGCTTTTTAGTTCGGTCGGACCTGGAAATACGTATGTACAACTTAAAAGCTCTATAGACAGCCTAGTAACGTCCGCACGCTGGCGTAGCAACAGAGTCCAAGGAGAGTTTGAGAACAAGCGCTCGCGCGCGCGCTTTGGCGCCAAAATGTTTGCGCCAAAATTCAAAGGGTCCTCATCAGCGGATGGAGGGGTTAATCTAAAGGTTATGTACCTGACCTTGAGATAAATATCTCGATGTTCCCATCAACATGTAGACGAAAACAGGCACAAGAGCTGTGTAAAGACCTGTCACTGGAGGCAAAGATGCCAGCATTGCAAAAGCAAGACCTGGTCGATCAAAATGAAYGACAAAAAATGTTAGAAAGCTTGAGCATATCTTTTACAACAAACGAGAAAAAGACAGTTGGCAAGCAAAACATTCTTCCAAATTAGTGACGAAAAGAATCGTAAAAACTCAGTTTTCAATAAGTGGTAGATGAATAAAAGAGTATTTGTGTTAAGTGAGAAGGTTTGCAGAAACGATGAAAATGTGGTCATGCATGTCTGCCCTTCCGAGAGCGACAAGTTCTTCAAATTCATGCATATGCTCAAGTCACTATAATTCCCTTCAAAATATTCTGTTGGGTGATTTTCTCCCCTGAAATTGTTTT